TTTTTTCTTTTTTCGCGATGCCGGCGAAGGAGGCGCGCTTAAAGAGGCGGATAATTTAAAAGCAGGGAAGGAACGGGAGGAAAACGGGAATTACAGGGGCGAGGAAAATTACGTTGATGGAAAAATGCTTTGGGACTTCTTAAACCGGAGTTATATATATATATAATATTCGGGAAAAAAATTAAAATCTCTCGCAGATCTCTCTCTCTCTCTCTCTCTCTCTCTCTCTCTCTCTCTCTCTCTCTTACGAGACTATTAAAAAGATCTCTCGGATGGAATTATTATTTCTAACCTAAAATTCATCTTCAGTTTGCCGTTTTTAATTATTCCGCGAGTTTCATTCCTCCAACTTGGAAATGTCCATCGTTCGTCCAATTCGATTCGAGCGAGAGGGAGCACCGAAATATAAACGGAAAGGAGATGCGATATCATTAGCGTTTCACTGGAGTTTCGCTGGATTTAAAAGAAAATCGTAACGACGCGCTCGAAGGGAGGAGAGAGAGAGAGAGAGAGAGTAGCAACCCTCGATCCACCGATTAATTCCCGGCTCTGGCTACATCGCCGGCTAAATTGCCGTAGTCTCTCGCGGCGTCGTTTTTCGCGCTTCCTTTCTCACCCACCCCATCGCCCACTCCTCCCACCCCCACAGGTCGCCGCGTCCCGAATATCGCGCGCGCGTACCTCTTTTTTCTTCCCTTTCTTTCTTTTTTTTTTCTTTTTTCCCCTCTTTTTTGCCGGATTTTGCCGGAGGATATCGACAGGAAACGACGAACAGGAAACGGAGCGAGCGAAACGAGAGAAAGGAAAGGCTGTGAAAGGGAGTCGAAAAACGGGGACGAAGGGCGCAACGACCAACGGATCGAGCCAACGGTGGGGGTTGGAAAATGAGAGGAGAAAGGATCGACGACTACGGGTACGGCTACGACGACGACGTCGACGACGATGATGGTGATAGCGGTGACGTTGGTGGTGGTTGCGAGGTCGGTGTGTGGGTGTTCGATACGATGAAAAAGCGCGAGAGCGCGGCTCTTCGGCTCTCGGTATTGGTGCGAGTCCGGGGAGAGGGGGTGGGTGGTATTGTCTCGGTGATTATTTACGGCGAATTTTAAGCCCCTAAGTGTGGCTGCCGCAATAATTAACAAAAGGCATTATGCCATGGACAACGAACTCTCAGTGGCTCTCTCTCACTCTCTCTACCCTACACCCTAGCGTTACCCTATTTATATACAAGGTGGGACGCGAAGGTGGTGGCTGTTCTGGGGTTCGTTCGTTCGTTCGTTCGCTCGCTCGCCAGGAGAGATAACACCTGGGACCCCGCCACTCGATTGCCCAGGGCTCATTTACTAATGAGTACGTCCCTATACAAAGAGAGAGCGATGCGAGAGTTAATGCGACTTCTTTTTCGTTTCTGGCTACCACATCTACCCGTATGTGCCGAGCGAGTTGACGCGCGCGCGTTGACTTCGAGTGGTGGCTAATAGTAGGGGCGCGCAATCTTCGAGAGAGAGAGAGAGAGAGAGAGGGATAGAAACGTCGCGGTTTCTGCATACGTGCGCGTCTCTCGCTCTCCTTTCGTCCGCGATTCGTCACGAAAGAGGAACGTAACGCCTCGGATACGCTCGGTGCGATGCGGCCAACGGGTAGCCTATTCATCGGATGCCACTCGAGAGCAGAGACCCTTTTTTTTTCTTCTCCCCTCCTTTCTTCTCTGTAAGCTTCCTCCACGAAGCGAACGAACGCACGGGACAAACCCCTCTAAAATCGGCTACTTCGACTCTTGCTCTTCTTCGTGACAAGTTCTTCGATTCGAATATCGGCGAATAATATCGGCGATAGAGACGAAGAGAGTCGAAATGGCGAACAAGGTTGAAACGTCCGGTGAAAATAAGCGTTACGCAATGAGATAGATAGGAGGCACGTATCGTTCCGTTAACAGAGCCGTTTGCAAGCGGTAACGAGATTAATAATTGCACCGTAGACCCGGTAATCCGTCAAATTGATTTTAATCGCAGGAACAGTCTAGCCTCTTTCTTTTTGCGCCAACGAGAGAGAGAGAGAGAGAGAGAGAGAGAGAGAGAGAGAGAGAGAGAGAGAGAGAGGGCTTCGATCAAAGAAGAAACGCATTTCTTTCGTATCATTACGCAATTCGTACCTTCCCTTCTTCGTATCCCGGGTTATAGGTCGTGAACGACAGACGGGAGATATACGGGGAGTTTAATGGTTGAAATTTAGAACGGTTTAAGTGGCGGTACGGTGGCATTTTAATCGACGGTCTGGTTAGGTCATCGCGGTCTCTCGTATCGTCGTAACACATGGACGAACGAGCGGACGCGAGCGAGTCGGACGAGAGATATAGAGAAGGCTTAACACCACGTGGGGAGCAACTTTATGGGAACCGGAGCACGCCAGGGGCGTGTGTGCGTGCGTGTGTGTGCGTGTGCGTGTGTGTGTTTGTGCGCGTCGTCCCGATACGCGTCTCACACGCCACGTTCTCTTTTCTCCTTTTCTCTCTCGCTCGCATCCCCCTTCCTTCTCTCTTTCTTTCTCTCTCTCGCGTTTTGATTTTCGAAATATTGCTCCCTTTCTTTAACACGTAACCGTCTCGAAGATAAGTTATTATCTCTTTCGATCGGATGAATTCGATCAGAAATTCGTTATTTTCGACGGATTCAGCCTCCTCAGTTTTTAACGCGCGAGTAAAAGGAAAAAAAAAAAAAAAAAAAAAGAAAAGAAAAAAGAGAAAACGAACGAAACGAACTTTGACCCCTTGGCCGAGAATCGACCAGAGGCGTAATTAAGACGAGGCGCGAATTAACAGAGGTTCCAATTAAACGAGTTAATGAAAATATGCGTTGTTACCTTGTAGTGTCTCTAACTCCTATCTCCTTGGAATCAGCAATCAAAACTGAACTGAATCCGGACCACCGATCCTCGTCCGCGCGAGGCTCTCTTCACTTTTGAATTTGGTCAATTACGGGCAGGGGCCGCCCCGCCGTCGCCGAGTCGCGCGGCTTATCTCGCCGCGCACTTGTATCAGTTTATCTCGTTTAACTCGACACAAACTCCTCCAATTAGGAAGGCCGAATCCCTGTTACACGATGGGGGGATATATCCGAACTGTTGCGCGGACGTACGAGGACTGAATCGAATCACCGACCGCTAGGCCCTCCACCGCTCGCTCCACCGAGCGGAACCGAGATGCTCCGAAACTTATCGAGCGACATCGCGGAGACATCCGAGCGACGTCTTCGTCGTGACGTCTCAGGACGTGAACGCATTCGATCTTCCTCCCTCCCCCCTTCCAAAAAACATCTCGCTTCACCACGACAGACGCGCT